ACTGCATTCTCAGAATCTACTGCTTGCTCTTCTGACTGAAAGCATGATCACATTGGAACAACTTGGGATTACTGTCTTTGGGACAGTGCCAACACTGCTCCAGGAGGGATGCCAGGGAGGGAAAAGCTCTTGGGATGGTCCAGGGCTAACTGTCAGGGCTAACTATGCTGTAACTATGTGGCTTTGCAGTATCTTGCTGATTACTTTTGCTGTAGTGCAAGAGACCACTCACATCATTTAACTTCAAACATTTTTTTGACAAAAAAAAAAAGACTCAACTAAATCCCAGTGTTTTACTAGCACCAAGGCAGATGGTTCTGTGAACAGGTGGAGACAATTTCTTCTCTATAGCTTAAAATTCATTCCCTTATGTCCTTTGCTTTATCTTTAAGCAGCTATAAATGGGGATAACACTGTTGTGTTTTTGACCTTCCCTGATTACCATCAGATGGACTAATTTAAAGAACTAACATAGGACAGGGTATGCAGAGTGGACTTTTGCTTTTTCCATCTTTCCCTGGCTTTAGAGCCTATTAACTTTTGTTCTAACTGCCGCATCCCTTCTCCTTCCTCCTGTGGCACCAATCCTCTCCTTTTTCCTCATCACTTACCACCAGGTTTTCCTTGGCTTCCTCCCTCAGCCTCTTCCATGGCAACAATCCCAATTTTCTCAGCAGCACCTTCTCATAATGTTCTCTTGCCTTTGTCTGGAGCTGCTGCTCCTTCGCCAGCCTTCTCTGCTTCTCCGCTTCTTTCTATAATACAATGAGCAGTAGTTTTAATTCACTCTGGATAAAGTAATGTCAGTCAGTGTTAACCACAGGTAAGTTGTCATACTGGAGCTGGTGGTCCTGATGTGACAGGACCTATAAGCTGGAGGAAGGCAGACTTCTGTGTTTGTTTTTAACTGAATTAAAGATCTGTACCAAGAAAACAACGGAGTTTAAGCATGGCCACTTACTCCAGCCTAAGCAGCAGGGAGGGATGTATTATGTATCTGTATGATACTACTTTTGACTGCGCCTCAGCAATGAAGGTCAAAAGTCCTAAAAATCCATTTAAGTAGAACAGCAGTTGTAGGTGAAAGCCCTGTAGAATTTGAAGTGAATGCTATTTGTGTTATCAGAACAGGTCATTTCCAAGTAGTAAGAATGAAGCAGGGCTCGTCCTAGGCTGCTAGATACTGCTAGTTACCCAGCATGGAAAAGTTACCCATATTTTTCAAGTGGAAAGTTGCCTTTTCATACATCTTTGTAAGTCTTGTTTAAACCATGTGTGACTGCAGGGATACATATGTGGAAGGAGTAATCCAAGAGAGACAAGCCAGCCATGCTGCCACTGCGGGAGTTTATGACACCCACCCCTTGGCAGAGGATTTCCAGCAGCTGGCACCTGTTTATAAGGCAGAGATAGTACATGCTCCATGGCCTGTTCAGCTCACAGCCTTTCTATTAAGATGGCCCAAAAAGAGGAAGGTGGTGGGTTCACATAGCTGTGCCGTGGTATGAAATGCTGAAACCATCAGCTCCCATCACACCAGCTGCTGAGTGAGCACTGGTGGGTAGTGACTCTGTGTTGCTATTCCTGCTAATGTGGGGGAGACGGATGAAGTGTTTGCTCACCAGCTTCTGCTGCCGCCTCTCCTCTCGTCTTCTCTCCTGCTGCGCTGCCTTTTCCTCAGCCTCCTTCCTCTGGCGTGCTTCCTCCTTAGCCTTCAGCTGGGCCTTCAAGAAGAAAATGGATTGAAGTAGAATTTAATGCAGAGTATGTAGCCTTCTGAGGAACACAGACTTCTTAAGCTATCCCAGACAAGTGATATTCCTCTTGGTCTGGAACTTCAGAAGGAAGCAGACACTAGGTCGAACACTAGGTTTGATTTGTGTTGGACTTTCAATGAACTATGGAAGGGGGAGGAAGCGCCGTGCCATCTACACGTGGCCATCTTTCTTTGCCCTAAGTTATAATGTTTGGCCACTTTTTTCCTGAAAATGTAAATGGTGCTCTAAGTTAGTTACTGATAATTTAATTGCTGAAGCCTGTACTTAACCCTTTGAATATGTCCGTGGAATGTGAAGTTTTACTGCTACAAGACAGGCAGCATTACAGGTGCTCAAACATTGTATTTTTCCCCAAGCACTGAAGATCACAATTGTTTTACCTTACCAATGCTCATACTTGGCACACTGTCTTTTTCTGAATATTTACCTATTCCCACATTCATTTTGCAAAGCTCCAGCTCTTATTGCATGCATCAGAGGCTTGAAAAAACACACTACAATTCATGATTTCTATGCCTGTTTTCTATTCTCTCAAACTGGAAGTTAAAGAAACCTAGCTTCCTGCTTGCATGCCCACCCTGTGGTTAAAATGTTCTTTAAAGCTTGTTTCAGCCTTCAACCTAGACAAAGGCATCCCTCTTGCTTAGAGAAAGATGGAATATTGGTTGTTTTAGGACCTCAGTTCTGAGTTTTCTAATCTTACTGCAACTCTTATCAATATGTCAGTGATCAATGCATTCATCTAAGCTTTGAAGGCTCCTCTGTTGGATGTATGTCACAGAATAAAGTATATTAACTACGTAAATATTGTCAGTGTCTTTCACTGTTGGCAGAGCTTTGCTATAACCTAAAATGTAGGATTTTCTGCTAGGTCAGACTGTATATCCTCAAGCTGCACATCCTGATGTGACTGAACAGGAAAGATAAGGGATGGGAAAACCCACCATCTGTCAAGTTCAGTCAAGTGAATCTTTGCCTGCTCTTTCACTCTTGCCATCCTTGGCAAAGACGGTCATGGTCAGGAGGTAGGTGGAAGAGAGGCAGTGGAGGTGGTGGATGGTAAGGGAGGCTACTTCCAGAGTTTCTTGGGAAGGAAAGAACAGCAAGTATCTGCTTGTGGTATGGTAAGGCTACTTGTACGCAAATGCAGGGATAACTTCAGGGCTTGTTTACATATGTTCTTGTTTAAATGTCTGCTTTCTTAAGCCATAAAAACATTATTTTTTTATAAAGGTCCTCTTTCCAGGCCCTGATGCTATAGAGTTTAAGCAGCATTTCTTCCAACTGGAGTGATGGGAAAGAGACTGCATCATTTTCCCCCTTTCTTTCCTTACCAGTTTTTCTTCCTCTCTCTGTTGTTTGGCCTCTTTCAGTCTCCTCCTCCGTTCTGCCCGCTGAATTGCTCTCTCCTCCATAGCTAGAAAAACAGAAACAAGAAGATTAGGCTTAGTGGAAACTCACTGTAGGATAATGACAGAAGTTAGATGGACAGGAAGGATGACTTCTTTTCTCCCCTACCATGTCTCCTGTTGGTCTGTAGAGGCTAACACTCAAGGACTCCATTTCTGCCAGCTTTTATGCTGGCAGTGCTACAAGAAAAAATATTCATAAAGATTGAGGGCTGCTCTACTTAGATTCACTTCCCCCTCCCTCACTGATAGTCACAGCCATGGGGCTGGACTATGAAGAAGCTGTTTCCAGAGCTTTGTATCCTGCCTTCCCTGTCCACATGCCGAGGCTCACAGCCTCTGATTTAGCACTAACTGCAGTGAGCTTTCCAAGACCTTCAGTAAGTGCCACTGCTTATTTACAGAGGAACATCATGGTAGAAAATGCCCCTGCCACAGTGACACACAAGCACTTGGTCTCATGAGTGAGAAGCTACTGCTTCTGAACGCTTCTTTGGGGAGAAAGCTGTACTGCAGCAATCTTGCTGGCTGTCAGCAAGACAGTGTACGGTGCTGACATGACCTCCCAGACCATGCAGCGGAGCTGAGAACCTGTCCTCACTTGCCCTAAGCTCCAAATCAGGCACAGGCTGCAGCAACAGATGGTTAGGGAGTATGTCAGTGTTTTGACCACACTAAGTTTCTTCAGGTTCTTTTCTCACTTCTCCCAGAATCCTTTGCCAAGGGAAAGTCATCCAGTGATAATTTATTCACTGGGTTATCAAAACAAAAAAACAAAAAAGCACTTCAGAGCTCTGAAAACCTGCTTACCATCTCCAAAGCTATATTGAGTCCAGACAAGTCAAAGTGATAGATGGCTCAGATTAGGCCATTGCAGGAGCTGAACACTTCCAGTTCATATTAGTGTCCAGCTATCATGGCCAAAAAGCTTTGGTGAACCCAAGGCTGTTAAAATGTGAGCATGATCACGTTCCAGACTATTTCAGATAGACTACAACCACCCCTGGGTTGATAGGGGAGAACTTGACTTGGAGAGCCTGATCAGTATTGCATGCCTAATATGTGTGCAGCTCCAGGATGGCCAGAGAAGGGGGATATCCCACAGAAGGCAGGGACTGGGAACTTCTAAGGCAGGGACTGGGAACTTCTTTCCCAGCCTAGCTACTGTTGCCTCACGAAACCTGGGGCAGGCACTTAATTCCCTTTGAAATCTCAAAACTTCTGTCAAACTTGGGTAAAAATGACCAGCTGGCTGTACCATTGACTTGGATGTGCAATGAAGTGAGTAGGACTGATAGTAAAAAGCCCCTCACAGCTTGTTTCTAGAGTGACCAGACTATCTCGAGTGTTGTGAGTGACCACAGCCTCAGCATACTGATCATGGACCTGGGGGCTTGTGGTGCTCTAGGTTTTCTAAGTGCTTGTGCCCAGAAGCAGCTCACGCTCACTGCTGTGGTCAGGCTGTGCAGAATGAGGAGTTTTACTTGCATACTGTTATCATACCAGAAGGCTGAGGCCAAAAAAGAGTTTTCAGACAAGCTGTTGAGAGAATGGTCTGGAATGGTCTTCGCTACTTGGAATGATACCTTTCAATATGGGATGGGCTGGGGTCAGCTGGCTGGAGGGCCTTCTGCTTTGTGTCCCTGCCCCTGTGTTTTCTGCTCCTTGAGAAACAGGCAGGCTGTGAAAGAAAAGAGTAAAGAAACTCCTCAGTGAATGCAGTCAATGATGTCTCACACCTACTGCCTATGATTAAGAAAAAAGCTCTGTAGTTGCTGTTTTTCACTGTGCTGCAGTTTCATTATTGGGTCCTCATACACCTTTCCTCTGTCTGAAATGGGATTGGCAATGCACCCTTTAGAGAATTTAGCTCTTTTGTATTTTCTGATGAAATGAGGATGGTGTGATCTCTCTTTTTTCCCTAACTATATAAATCTCTGCTGCTCCTATGTGTAACACTCCAGTGTTGAAATTTCTAAGTGGATCTTTATGCTTCACGTAGTATCAAGCCATTGCAAACAAAGCAAAACAAAATAAAAAGAAAAGAGAGAGAAGGATGGAGAACAGTGGCCAGGCTGATATCAATCTTGAGACTAAATCACAAGCAAGAGCAACGACTGGTACCACTAATGTAACTGAGGTGTCCCTGAGAGCTTCTCCTGCAAATTCTGGCTCAACTTGAATAGGAATAACACATTATGACTAACTGAGTTTGCCTGACCAAGGGCTTGTACCTCAGAGGGGTTGTATTCTTGCAGCTGGACTGTCCTTTCTTCTTTGCATTTTCCTCCCTAGGTTGTGAGACAGGGCTGTTAAGTGCTAGGGTGACAGCTGTGGCTTGTGCTGCCTCCTCTTTAGCTCTGTTCAGTCTCTGATTTTCCTGCAGTTCAAGGATCAGCTCTTGCTGTTCCTGAAGCTGCTGCCTCTGCTTCTTGATCAGCTGTTGCTGGAAGGCATGACGGTACTTGAAGCAACCACCATAAGCAGGGGCTGTTTTGGGGCTGAGTGCCTGAAATTGCTGTGGGAGAGCAGCTATGGGATTCCTGCTTGCAGCTAGGTCCTGGGCACTCAGGGTTGCATGTTTTGGGGTAATCTGCCAGGCAACCCGGGACTTTCTGTAGGAACGATGATGTGGTGTGTGAGAAGCATCCCAACCGCAGTGGTCTCTGGCATGGTCAGGCTCTTCTTGTATGAGGCAGGTTTCAGTTGCCTGGGGGAAAAAAAAAAAAGGAGACGTGTCTGTGGGTGCCATCAAAATTTCCTTGGGAGGAAGAAATCCTGATCAGGCCCGAGAGCTCTGGCAGGAAAATGGTCTGGCTATTTTGTTAGGGAGAGCAGCTCAGGACAACTTATTTCACAGCGGTTAGCTCATCTCTCAAGGGTTAGCACACACTGTTTTCAACCAGATTGTCCCTAGTAAGCACTTGGGCTAAAAGTAAAGGAGAAAAATAGTTGCTAAAAAATGAAAAATGTCAATTTAAGGAAGCAACCTCTGATTCTCCTACTTTCTTGTGATGTGCATTACTGTGAAACAACCAGGGAGAGCTTATTTTTCCCCTGCACTTAAAAGCCAGAATGCTGCATTGACATGACAAAATCTCTTGTCATGCAGGCAAGTGTTACTCTTTCTCAGATTAGGCAGGTATCAAAGATCTAACTGTAATGTCTCAGCAAAAGTGATGGGGGGGTGGGAACTTCATTGTGGCTCATAGTACATGAAGGCTTTTCTTTGGCAGCAGTAGAGTTTATTTTAGAACTACCATCCTTCATGTACCCCTCCAATCTTTAAAGACCTCCCTCCTCAACAGTTGCAGGTGGATGTCTGGGGCTCCCCCAGGCAGGTCTTTCTCTGGGCAATGCTCTCTTTGTTTGGGTGTGCCAAAACACTTAATTCACAGGGTGGTGATGTAGCCAATATGAAGGGAGATCTCATTAGAGAAAACTCCAGGGAAAATATTTACCTTATGCTGCAAAGGTTGATTCTGACACATTTTTGCTGTCCCAGCCTTGCTAACCTCTGGTGGCTTGTCCTGAGCACTCTTCCCCAGTGACACTGCCTCCAGAAGCTGCTCCATCTTTCTCTTTGTCTCTCCTCTCCTGATCTGCAGCTCTCGTTTTTCTGCCTCTCCTTGGCTCCAGCGCTGCCACGCCAGAAAGCAGGATTGCAAAAGCCGCTGTTGGTTATGTGCCACAGACAGTTGTTTCTTCCTGAAAGAGAAAGCACTTGGGTTATGATAGGAGCAAGATTCCTGCCCAGGCCTGCCTGAAATGATCAGAGTAGAGCAGTCTGGGCCATGCCACGAGGCCCTATAATTTCCCAAGTCTTTGTGTTGCTTGATTCGGAAGGCCCTCCAAAGCTGCATGGTGTTTCTGCATGAAGGAGTGCGAGGGCAGAGAAGATACTCATTACTTTGAAATAAGTTTTTCTACTTCACATTTTATATTTTCCTGTGTTATCGTTGGGCTGCAGGGCAGGTGTCAAAGGGGTATTCTGTTCCCTTGCCAGCTGTGCGAGGGGAAGGGGTAGTGCCTCCCCACACAGCCTCCCACACACCTGCAAAACCAAAATTTTCTACTGTGTTTGGAGAATTCAGCCAGCAGACTCTGATGAAAGGCTCTGGTCAATAAAATCTCCACTATAATCTCCACTATAAGGCTGCTGGAATAGGCAATAAAGCTACTCATTAAGAATAAGTACCCTTATAGTCCCTGGGGTCCAGAGCAACCCAGGATACAATGTTCAGGAAAGATACCTAAAGAGAGTGAGCGATGCAGGTTTGTTGGAAGGTACTCAAACTCCTTTTACCTGTCTCTGTCAGACTGCAGGCAACATAGCAATTTGGTCAAAAAGCTACAGCTTTCCTCGTGCTGAACAGCTGGAAAGGCCCTTTTGTGTCCCTCTGGGGACTGTCTGAAGAATGCCAGAGTCTAGGGTCAACCTGCCTGTTTTGATCTTGGAGATGAACTTCTAATTGCTGTGTCTCCCGCTTCACTTTCTGGGCCCAGTTATAGTTCCTCCAGGCTCGCAGGGCCTTCAGCTGGCATTTCCAGTCAGCAAAGGCTCTGGCTTTTCCTGTTTTAATTCTCTGTTCCATAAAGTGTTTGAACCAAGCAGAGAAATGTCGTTGCAGGCACTGCAAGGGAGAGTTTGTTAAATTAAGCAAATTATAATCCATTGCATAAATGCTGATACTTTCTATTCTTCCCCTTTTCTGGCTTTCCTTTATGAGATTCTTTTTAGCATTCATGCTTTCCATAAGTACCCTTGAAAGTAAAGAAAAAAAAGCAGCTGGTGTATGTGACTTGTATGAAAAGCAGAAAGAGCAAAAAGACAATAATGCGACTCTACCTTTGAATTAAATGCACCAAGTGCAACAGAATAAAATGGGCAAGGGATATGGAAACAGCGTTTCCAGAAACAGAGGAAATGTCTCAAAATCCAGAAAATGTCTAAAATTCTACAGGTAAGGATGCTTCTGTGGAGAACGTTTCTCAAATATTTCCACAGACACTTGCTGTTTGTGGGTTTTTGTTTTTTCAACTTAGACAAAAATGAAGACATTCCTTAGCACTAATTTTTGACATGGCCTAAACTCACTCTTGCTTCATCAGGAAGCCAAAGCATTCCCCCATGTAATTAGAACCACTGCCTCTGAGAGTGATTTATATTGTACAGAAGAGCAATTTGCTATCTAATCTTCCCCATAATTCTAGCCTTGTCAGTGCAGACAGCGCTCATTTTGATCCTCCAAGTGGGTCAGATCACAGGACTCAGCTGTCCCCCTTTGTCATAACGCCTTGTATTAATTGCATTTCTCTCTGTCACAGAAATCTCCAAATGGAGAGTTACGAAAAGGACAAATGTCTATGTATTAGCTTACTTTTTTCTGCTTTAAGAAAATAATCGAAGTATCATTATGGCTTAGCTCAGCTAAGCTGCTGTTTCTCACATTATGCCAGCCATAAATTGATGTGTGTTTTCATTTAGGCTTATCTCCTTTGCCTAGATTGTGCTGGCAAGAGATGCTATTCTGCTAAACAGTAGCCAAGCTCAAATCCAGTACACAGGCAGATGAATTGAGCCCCAGGGAGAAACTAGCATAAAAGCTATGGGATTCTTATACATGAAACATTCTAGATGTAAATAAGTAGACATTAATGATGGTAACTGCTCTATTAATTAAAAACGCTATGTAATGGCATTCATAGGTGCACAATGGGAAATTTATTCCCTGTGCTGAGCCTGCTCACATAAGATTATTCAGCACAAAAAGATCTCTCTTTAATTGCAGGTATTTGATACAACTATATTCTTAACTGAAAGTTGGTCCAGGCATCAGGAAGACAGCAGGATAGTCTCTCTTCCTTTTATAAACTCTCATGATGATAATATTGAGAAATATAAAGGAAAACATGGAAAATCCCTACATCTAGCTATCTATCTTGGTAAAAGAGAAAGTGTAGTTGATTTTAAACAGGAAGCATCTGTTCTACACAACCCCTTTTTAACTTATCAACCAATTAAGTCTCTCACTATAGGTTGGTTTTTTTTTTTTTTTTTTTTTTTTTTTTCCCCCCCAAAACAGGGAAATTAAATGGTTCCAACCTCTCCCTGGGGACACTGGAGATGGGGGCTCAGGACTTCTTGCTCCCAGTTTCACGACATACTTCTTTCCCTGCTCCTTTCCTGATATCAGGAGAAGTGTTTGGAAGAAATGAAAAAGATCTGATAACTAGGATTTTTTAAAAAAATCAATTCTGCAAACAGCAGCTGACAGAGATAGCTCAGAACCTCAGATAAAAGAGAATAATGCTCACTTTCCAGTTATCGGTGTGAATCCTGCTCAGCAGTTCCTGACTCCTCTGTTTTTCCTCTTCTTGCTCTTCTTTCTTTAGGTTCAGGGGCAGTAACGCAGTAATAGACACCTCCTGCACTGACAGCTTCTGACTTTTCTCTTGTCTTTTCTCTTCCCTAGAAGGTGGACAACATCGAGATCTAACATAGGAAAATGCCACAGTACAGATCTCAACCCTTTGTGAGCAATCCTAAGAGAATGACTTGCACATCTTAGAAAGATGCTAGTTATCTAAATCACCCATCTCGGAGAAGAGACCCATCATGATTGGGGTTTCAGCCATTCCGTGCAGTCCCAAGGCATTTCCAAAATATAGCAGCAGGAGGTAAATAATGAGATTTCAGAAAAGCTCTTGTGCAAGAAGATTTAAGTTTTCTGGGCTGCCCCCATAACTATATAGCATCCCTACAGGTCACATCTCTGCAGCAATCCAAACTCAGCAGAAGCAAAGGTCTTGTCTCTGCAAAATTCTCAGCCAAGGATTCTATTTTTTTTTTCTCCCTTAAGAGCAAAGGCCTGTTTTAAATGTTAAATTTCCACCACAGATGAGCTAGCATTTCACTTATTTACTTTTTTAAGTCTAGTGGCTTTTAAGCTGCTTTAGAAACTAGCAAGAGTTGTGGAACAGAGTGTGCAGCAGTGCATACACTGCTTTGCGAATTAGTGTGCATACTGGTCATGGCTGTGGGGAAGCTAACAGCAATTTTAACCCATTGTCCTACTAATCATGAACTTTGCCATTAAAGTTGGTAACAAAGGAATGGAAGATTCCAGGAGTTTTGAAGATACAGGACCAGAAAATGTTTCCTTTGGGAATGTTTCCACTGTTCTTGCATTTAGCCAGAGAAACTGATAAGAGAAGCTTTTCATATGTGCAATTCCATGCTGCCCTCTCCCTCTTACATTCTCCGTGCTTCTGCCATGGTGTGCCTCTTCTCGGCCATTTCCTTCCGCAGCTTCACCATCTCCCTCTGGATGGCATCCTCCTCCTTCTTAGCCTTTAGGGCCTTCCTCCTGTCTTCCTCCTGTGCTCGCTTCTTGGCCTCAAACAGAACAGATTTTTTAAGGGCCTGTTCTTGTCTCTGAAGCTCTAATGCCTTCTGATACTTCAGTCGATTTTCTTTCACCTGGAAGGAAAAAATCAGCAAAAGTCAAAGCAACCACTAAAGGCAGAAGTATTTGAGGTTGTGACCCACCCTTCACACAGGCAAGCAACTCTATCTATAGGTAGCGCTGACTGGACTGATTCTGTTCTCAGACTAGCAGAAAACTCCAAGAGAGTGGGATTAATCCAGCATTACCTGAGCATTCTGAGCAAACTCAGAAGCAAGGGCTGTAGTGGCTTTTCCTGTCTGTCTCCAGAAGGGAGGAAAATCTGAATAGATGTGATGAAAGTCCACAGTGCAAGCTGTTGCAAATGGCTTAAATATGTGTGAAAACAAGGCACATTTCTGCTAAATCTCCAAGGAGTATCCTTGCTAATTAGCCTCTCAGTCAGGGGTCACTGAGGCCAGCAGAGAATGTTAAGGACCTATCACTGAGTACTGCCTCTAATCCTATAATTCACTGTTTTTTCCTTTTCATTGTGCTCCCTTGCCTACACACCTGGTGGTGTCTGAGCTCCATGGTTAGCCGTGGATCTGCTGGTTTTTGTTTTTCCTTGATGTCTTCAATTCTCAGGTCTTCTGCTATCTCACAGTCTACTGCTTTACTCTGCAAAAGTTGCTGCAGGTACTCTTGGACAGAGGAACTTTCCAGTTGCTGTTCCAGAGAGCTGCACAAGTCTGAAATGAGGAATGCAGATCACATAAGCTAGTCTGAAATGAACAGAGCCCTCTCCTGCAGATCACAAAGCCTAACATGATTAGAGGGATCACTTTTCACAACTGTGAATGTGCTTCTGATGAAAGTGGACATATTGACAGCATTCCATTTATTCTCAAAGACTCAATCAGGCTCCCATTGAACACGCTGGAGCAATAGCAATGTTTTGTCCATTTCCATCACCTTGCTTCTGAGCATCTCGAACTACTAAATTTGACAGGCTTCACAAATCCCGAAGAGCAAAGGAAACAAAATCTCTCGTACAATGGGAGACATCAAATGTTTATGAGGTACATTCATGCAGCCCTACAACAAACTGATGAAAGAAAAAAAGCTGGGAAGAAATCTTCACCTCTAACCTTGATCCCACCTGAGCTCACTGCCCTGGACACGGAGCAGCTCATACTTCAGGCATGAGGCCAGGCTCCCTCCCGCAGTGCGAGCCATGAGGTGCCTGGCTGTGCTCTCACCATCAAACCGCTGGTACTTGAGAAGGGCTGCGGAAGGCCCCTCTGGGAGGACAGATCCAACTTCCTCTTCATCGCTCAGCTCCACTTGTAGTTTGGACTTCATCCAGGTTCTGAGCAGCTCTTGAGCTACCATGAAGAAAAAGAGTGATGATTTTACTTGCCTTAAAAATATATGAGTAAGTTTACACTAGCAAGAATCCCTTACTGGGACAGTGAGAAGACTGTAGAATCATAGAATCATAGAATGCTTAAGGTTGGAAGGGACCTCTAGAGGTCATCTAGTCCAACCCCCTGCACATGCAGGGTCACCTAGAGCACATGGCACAGGACTGCGTCCAAGCGAGTTTTGAAGATCTCCAGAGAAGGAGACTCCACAACCTCTCTGGGCAGCCTGTTCCAGTGCTCTGTCACCCTCACTGTTAAGAAATTTTGCCTTAAGTTCCTGTGGAACTTTTGATGCCTCAGTTTCTGGCTGTTTCCTCTAGTTCTGTCAGTGGCCACCAGCGAAAAGAGGCCAGCACCATCCTCCTCACTGCCTCCCTTGAGGTACTTATAGACACTGATTAGGTCCCCTCTCAGCCTTCTCTTCTCCAGACTG